ACATTTTCTTTTCCTTTTAACCTGAGAAGGTCAATTCCAGAAAGAAATGGTGTACCTCCAGGAGCCGACTTCTGTAGTGTTCAGAGAAGTTTTGTTTGTAACTCTGTGTGCTAGAATGTTATGACTGCATTTACCCACATTAGGATTTTAATTTTGTAAATAACAGTAGAGATTCCTTCAACCATTATGATTTCAAGTTTGTTACAGGGATGCCTGAGTGGCTCAGTGGTTGAGTACCTGCCTTTGGCTCAGGGCGTGATCCCGGATTCCTGGGGTCGAATCCCACATCAGGCTCCTTGCATGGAGCCTGCTTCTCCCTCTGCCTGTGCCTCTGCCTCTCTCTGTCTCTCATGAATAAATAAACAAAATCTTAAAAAAAATAAAGTTTGTTAGAGAGTTAATTTAAAGGTTCTCAACTTTGGGGGGATTATCATATCCTATTTACTTCATTTTGGTTAGTGGTGTTTTTTGAGAATTTTATAATATACCTTGAAATGATGGAAGACTCATTGGAGTCCCATAGAACTGAATTTTTATATTACCTTTTATTTGTATATAAGGGGTGAAAATTAAATTGAAATCCTTGGAGGTTTCCCCAGATGTGTTTCTAATATAATCTCAGCTCTTTTACATGTATCTTGTGGGCAATTTATGATGAAGACTAGAGGCAAGGTATAGGTGAATGAAATTTCAGTCTAAAATCCTGTTTTATTGTTTTTTTAAAAGCAAGATTTATTTATTTATTTGAGAGGGAGGGAGGGAGAGAGAGAGAGAGAGAGGGAGAGAGAGAGAGAGAGAGAGAGGGAGAGAGAGAGAGAGAGAGAGGGAGAGAGAGAGAGAGAGAGAGAGATGGGATAGGGGCAGAGGGAGAGGGAGAGAGAGAGAGAACCCCAAGCAGACTCCCCGCTGATCATGGAACCCTGATGTGGGGCTCGATCTCATGACCCTGAGCTGAGACCAAGAGTCGGTGTTTAACTGGCTGTGCCACACAGGCACCCCTAAAATCCTGTTTTAGATGAAAGTGTCCGCCGAAATAAAGACATTGATGGATTTCTGTTCTTTTCCTACCGAAATCTGTGGATGCTTAGACACTGGAAAACCACTGGAGCCTAAACAGGCCAGTCAGTTGAACTTCTTCCTTTCGGCCTGCAGATGGCAGCATCATACCAGAAATATACCTGACATTTGGCAAAGACCTACAGCTTTGAAATTCATTACATGTTGGCACCTTAAGAATGCAGTGATGTATCATCTGAATATGGATATAGAAGCAGACCCCAACTTTGATGTGTCCCCATATTTACATATATTTGAATGGCTGCCCCAGTCTTTTGTTATCCCCTGGTTGAGGTCTTTTGGGATTTCCCCTCTCTTTCCCTTTCAGGCTTATTACTATAGCTCTTGTTTCTTCCTGGGAATAAGTGCTCCCTTACAAAAATACCCACTTCTCTCCCGTGCTTTGGTGTGTCTCCCATCCTTTTCACGAGGGAAGGGACTCAGATTGAAAAAGAGAGCAAGGTGGGCAGCCCGGGTGGCTCAGCGGTTTAGCGGTTTAGCGCCGTCTTCAGTTCAGGGCGGGATCCTGGAGACACCGGATCTAATCCTACCTCCGGCTCCACGTCACCACTGTGCCCGGTCCCTCTTGTTGTCATATTGTTTACCCTGTTGTCAGCAATGAAGACTTGGAGGAAAAACCCAGAGTTGTGTTGTGTATTCGTTCCAGGGACAAGGAGCCTAGGGAACATTCTGAGACTGGGTTGGGTTCTGTCTGTGTCTTTGAGGAACCGGGGGAGGGAGCACACGCGGGACAGATCACAAACAAAAAGTGGTGGGGATGAAAAAGAAGCAGACAGCCTTGGCTCTGGGACTAGATGAATGAATAAAGGGATAATAGGGATCCACCTAACCCATTTGAGTGGCATCCCTGGGATTTCCCACTGGCCAGAAGTCCAGGCCTTCAGCTCCTCAGGCCTCACTTCCCCCTTTCCAGGCCACAGTGATTTCCATGAAAGCAGGGCAGGGGGAGGAAGGAAGTGTATGTGTGTGGGGGGGAATATCTGACCCTTTTCCAGCTATTTTAGGTAGACTTCTCATCCTCAAAGTAGAAATCTATGCAAATATTCCACAGAAACACTCTTATATGATATGGTTAACCTCTGTAGAAGTATTAGAAGTTAGGATCATTTTCTGGAGCTTTCTAGCCTAACCCAAAACATCCCAGAGCCCCATCCACCATGCATTCTGTGAGATAAAGGTATATTGAGTCTAAAACAGCATTCATACATTGAGAACTGCTTCTCTTGTATCACATCATGTGTACAGAACATGTGAAGCTTGAAAAACAAGTCAACCCACTGACATTTCCAACAGGCTATATAAAATTAAAAACAGCATCTTAAAGACAGCTTGTTCTTTGATATAACAATAGATATTTTAATCTTACATTTTTGTATAATGACCTTAATTTGTGGATTAAGTTTATTTGGCCAAGTAAAATGTGTCTTGTAGGATCTAGTTATTGTAATGGGCAGTGGCTTTATTAAGATGGTTTTGTTCATTTGTTGCACTAGTAAAATGCTCATTTCTTCCCAATAGCCGATGATCTCATGTTAAGTGGAAAAATTTTTAAAGACCCTCTTTTATGATATTTAGCAAGCCTAAAAGTTAGAATGTGGCATGGAAAGTAATAACAAAATACACGTTAGCATTTGCTTTTAATTGTTGTAAGCCTTGTATCAATTAGTGTAGAACATTGAGGACGGGGCATTTATTTAGTCATGGAGAGAAAAAAAATAAGACTTGTTTACCTAATTGAAAAGAAATTAGGAAAGTGATTTTCTCTAAATTACATTTCTATTCAAATGCACTCTCCAAATTCAAGTTATTTTCCTAATTATATTTTATATGCAATGAATTTTTAAACCTCTTTGTGCACTTTATGCTCTTGGTTGGAAATTTAACATCAATTGAGTTTCCATTAAGCTGGAAATCACAGCTTAATGGTAGTTTTTAGAGATGTGATTTTAGCAAGGTATTTGTCTTGGCATAGTAATAATAGTAATATAAATGCATTTATAGACTACTTTAAAGTTTACAAAATACTTTTCTACACAAAGGCATGTGGTGTCATGGAAAGACTTGAGGCTTTGACTTCAGACCTGGGCGTGAACCCCAACATAGCCATTAACTTCCAATTACTCTTCCTGAGTCTCAGGCTTCTCATCTGTAAAATGAGGATAACACCTGGGTTGAAGTGCCACTGTGCATATTAAATAGGAATGAATGTTTGTGAAGATCTTAGCATGAAACAAGTCACCTTCTGAACCCCAGTAGTGAATCTTCAGAATTTAGTAGGAAGTAGATTTAATTCCTGTCTTACAAATGAGTCAGCTGAGTCCAGGTAACTGATCCAGAGGCACCACCCTAATTCATGACTCCAGGTCCAGACTTCTTCCCTCCTCCCAGGGGCTTCTGGGGCAAGACGGCAAACATAGATACAATACTCAGCATGGATTGTCAGGTGTGGCCACTCAGATACCATCCAGCTTCCATCAAAGCAGTGATTCCTAGCCCATTTTCCTTGACATACATGTGACCCTGCATGGCTCCAGGTTGCTGGAGTGTTAGCTGAAACCCCATCCCTTTCTCTCCCACTCACAAAAGTCCAAGAAGAGAGTGTGTCTATTAATAGGATAACCTACAATCCATCCCATCCCCACCCCACCACCCAGTATTTTACTGCCAATAGCAAGTTTCTCTGAAAACCCTTCACCACTGATTGCAACATGCCATGGTTAGGAACTGCCTGCCTGAGCTGTCTTCTAGGGAGAATAAGTCATTTTGAAGTAGATAGTTCATGATCGAGAGTGATGAGAAAGATTGGTGGGACCAGTGGGAGGTAAAAAGTGTGGGCTTGAGTTTGTAGGCAATCAGAGGTTCTTGAGTAGAAAGCAACAGGATTAGAGTGGTAGTCTTCAGGACAGCTTGGAAGCCAAAAAGGCTGGAAGCCAGGAGACCACTTGGACTCTTGGAGTGAACCAGATGGTATGAGATAAAGGTCTGAACCGCGGCAGTGGCAGCGGGAATGGAAAGGCATCAACTTGAGACTGATTGGCTATGCACAAGCAAGCAAGGAGGCAGAGGGGGCCCAGTCAGAAGCAGAAGTTTCAGAATATGCTGTCAGGTAGGCAGTGGGTGTCCTTCTTTAATTTTATTTTGCACAAATGAATATTAAAATGATCTTGTAGCCCCAGGACCCAGGATCACGTTGCTAGAAAGGAGACAATTAGGACGGTGCAAAAAAGCAGAAAAGAAAAGCCCAAGCTTATAGGGCATGGTTCATAACATATTAGTGGTCTTTTTCTTTTAGCCCAATTGCTGCCTTATGGAACTGTCTGTGTAGCCTGCTGTGCTGGTTTCAGATCCTAGGCTAAGTGACTTTGTGGCTAGTCATAGGAACATGCAGCTATCTGAATTTTGAACTTGATTCTGAACATTACAAGTGGGTGCCCGATGATAGGGAGTATGCGGTGAGTTGCTACACTTGGCATTTTATCAGTCAATAACCAGAAAGTTTGAAATGACTCAAGTTGTATGTGGAGGCCGTCTGGTAGACTGTATGTTCCATGTTGGTGGGGGCAGTCTCCTTAATTGAGGGCAGGGATTTTTATTTCATCCACTGCTGTGTCCCCTGCAGAGAACAGAGCCCATTTATTTGTAGATGTCAATCAATGATTGTTGTATGCACAGATGAAGCAGGGGATCACAGTGACTCTGGCTTGCCACAGTAGCCCCAGTGCTGGGCACAAGGCTGATTGCATAGCAGGAGCTGAATAAAGGTTTATCAAATGGAACTGACATGAGTTGGACAGCATTTGGTTTAGCAAAACTGATTTCTGTCTGGTTTTATATTGTGCAAAATACAGGAAAATAATGTTGGGTTGGGAATTCTTTACTTGGAACATTAAGCAGTAACAAAACCATGTTCATTCTTTTGCTAGTGATGATCTGGAACAATTCATGGAAAGTCAAGGTGCGTCCAGCCCAGGGATCCTCATTCTAACAACCAGCCTCAGCAAACCATTCATGCGACTGGAAAAGTATGTCACTCTCTTGCAAGAGTTGGAACGGCATATGGAGGTAAGAAGGCAGTGTGTGGGCCTCTGCTCTAGAGGAAGCAGCCAGTCTCCCTTCAGACTAACCCTGCTGAGGAATTCAGGAAAAGCCTTGGTTTCGCATTTTACTTGATCCAGTCTTCCCTCTTCCTGGGCTTCTAGTGTCCCTCTTTATGCAGCAAAATAGAAAGGGGGCATTCTTTTTTCCCCCCTCTTAAGATTGTTTTATTTTTACTTAATTTATTTTTCCCATTTTTTTAAATTTTTTTTTATTTATTTATGATAGTCACAGAGAGAGAGAGAGAGAGGCAGAGACACAGGCAGAGGGAGAAGCAGGCTCCATGCACCGGGAGCCCGATGTGGGATTCGATCCCGGGTCTCCAGGATCGCGCCCTGGGCCAAAGGCAGGCGCCAAACCGCTGCGCCACCCAGGGATCCCATTTTTCCCATTTTTATTGACAAATAAAAACCATATCTGTTTAGGTTGTACAATGTGATTTTTTTAAGTGTACCATGTGATGGTTTAATATCTGGAGATATTGTGAAATGATTCCCACAAGCTAGTTAATTCACACCTCCATCACCTCACACAGTTACAAGTATTTTTTTATAACACTTACAATATACTCTCAGTGAATTGCAAGTATACAATACAGTGCTAGAAACTATAACCACCATGCCGTACATTAGATCCCCGGAATTCATTCATCTTGCAACCAAGAGGTCCCTCCTTTACTACAAAATATTCGTGATCATTTGTCCTCCCAGCCTCAAACCCGGTGCTTCTCTCAAGTTGACTTAGGTTCTCCTCCTCTGTCGATGGTGGTTCAGTCAAAATTGGCCAAGATTTTCTGTTGTTCTGGTATATGAGCCAGCCTGATTGTGGGATACAAACAAAGCAAAGCATCAGAAAATATAAACACCATTTTCACTTATAGACAGGGATAAATATCTTGAGATCACTGCGATCATTCAGCTTTCTGACTCTGGGTTACACTGGAACATTCTGGAATCTCCTTAAAAACTCATAAACAGGATAACCAATATTAGTTGATCTGTCTATGTACCCATAGACCTACATCAAAGCGCCCTCACATTTGTGTTTATAAACTTAGAGTTGATTGGCAATAGCTGCAGCATAGCTATAATCTTTCCTAAATATTAAGATTGGCAACGATGCCTGACCATTGAATACTGTTTCAGCAAGAGGCCAGATCCTTTTATTAAAAACCATCAACAGGGATTGCTTCTAGAGTCATCCTTGCGCCATCGAGCATGGGTGTTTGAGGTGTGGGTGGGAGAGGAGGGCCCTCTGAGGGAGGCTGCGTTTACCCTAGTTGCTCTTCCTGTGTCTGGGGAAAGGTTTTGAGGTTTTAAAGGGTTTGATTATCTTTAAAGAAAAAGGTTGCACACCGCCGTTCTCATCAGCATTTGTAAGGATTGAAAGCGTGTACTCTGAGCAAAACCACATTCTCAGGTTGTTTGGCCTGCCGGAAAGCTGGAGGCAGCAGGGAGCTAGTGAGCAAAGCCTGCTGGGATGAAATTTCAGTTAGGCCTTGGGAAGGTGTTGACCTCTGGATGCCTTCCCAAAAGCTAAACCAGTTTGCTGAACCGTTTGAGGTTTGCCCCTCCTTGCTTATTGCAGAAATCCAGAAACCAGCGGCCTCAGTTTCTGTTCCTGCTCAATGCAGGAGTGCTAACATATACTCAGTTTGAGGAGAAGAATCCCCAGCCGCCCCCGCTGTCTGGATCCCCTCCGATGGGCTTCTCTGTGTTGGAGCCTGTCTGCACTCCTGCCTCCGTTGGTTGTTGCTCACCTGCCTTGGGCTGCCTTCCGTTTCCTACCATCAGATAACCCACACCATCAGCACTAGTTAGCCATCCGGTGAGCCACTTTCTCCAGCTTTCTGATCATTTAGCATGGCCGCTGGCTAAGGGGAGCCTAGAATCAAATTAGCTATTGGTTAATTTGGCAAAGGATACATTTGACCATAAAAGAATAGAAACCTTCTTCACAGAAGCAATACTGTTCTTGGCTTGGGGCAGAACCCTGGCCTGTCCAGCTGTGTGTTTTCTTACCTATGGCTGGTGGAGCAGCAGATTTTGTCCTTCCATTAGGCCGGCTGAATCCCAAAGGTTAGGTAGACATATTCCCATGGTGGGTATACAGCCTCCCCAAGAATCTCCCCTCTCCCTTCGTGAGTGGTCATGGAGATATGCATTCCTTAGTGCCGTTCTGGAACCTGTCCACTTTTCGGGGTTTTAAGTAGCACAGAACTGCAGACCATATATGTGGCTTACAAAGAAGCACATGGTATGAAACTTGGAATTTTGTTCCCATCTGCCCCATTGAGCCTCCTGGAGGAAAATTAAGGCATTTTAAGAAGTAAGATGGGATTGATTTTTCTGTAACCACGGTTCCCTACCTCTTGTCACTTATTAACAACGTGGCCTGATGATGCCCCCTCCTGACTGCTGATTATTTATTATCTAGAGACTCAGTAACCACACCTAGCATGTTGTTGCCAAATCCATGATGCGCTACCTACCGCCTGTCTACGTTTCTTGGTCACCTGATCATGGGAGGCGCTGAGACGCCAAATGCTCAGGTGCTGTCTTATTTTGTGATCTTTAAATTAGCATACAGTGAAATGGACTGTTTTCTTTTGACGTATAGTGCTGTGGCTTTCAGCACGTGTGTGGATTCATGTGACCACTGCCACGATGGAGATACAAGACAGGTCCATCATCCCCTCAGATTTCCTCTGTGTCCTTGCGGCTGCCACACCCTCCCCCCTCAACCCCTGGCAATGGCTGATCTGTTCTTCTTTAATATTATTTTTCAATGTATTCCTTTAATAGGATACGCATCCGGATCATCAGGATATTCTGAAAGCAATCATAGCATTCAAAACTCTCATGGTAGGTGATGCTCTCCAATTATAATTCTGTTTTGTATGCTTTGTTCCTAAAAGAGTGACATGTGTGTAACGTTTCTTTCCTTATGCAAAGGTCTTTAGAGTGGAAACAATAAGCTTTAGTGACAGTACCGCAGTGATTGTCTCATTTAATTTTGTCTTCCAAAAACTCATGCTTACCTATGAAAGGTTGCCAGGCTGAGGGTATAAAGCACTCACATTTGAAGTTTCTGCCACATTAAGCATTGCTGTGTAGGTGGGGGGTTTCCTTTTGTCTCTTTGTCTTTCCCCCCGTGTCGTTCACCTTATGTCTGTGCAACTTGTCGTTCACTGATTGGCATCGATAATGGATTCATCTATATATGCCAAAAGGTGTGAGTTTGTTCTTTGCATATGAAAAAGAAATCCTTCATCAAATCTAAAAGGAGAAAACCTACTCAAATACAGTTGCTTTATACAGATTGCTATCAAAGCTATCTGTAATCTTGTATCTTGAGCATGATGGTTAATGTCTTCTGGAACCCACTGATGGCACTTAGTAGCATTTTAGGAGAAAAGATAGTGTTACTTTGAGTGATTGATTAAGTTCAAATTCACTTTTAAAAAAGATTTATTTATTTATTTGAGAGAGAGGAGCACAAGAGGGAGAGGGAGAGAGAATCTCAAGCAGACTCCACGCTGAGCATGGAGCTGGGTGCAGGGATCTCTCACAACCCTGAGATCACGACCCAAGCTGAAACCAAGAGTCAGACACTTAAGTGACCATGCCACCCAGGAACCCCAAGTTTAGCTTCATTTTAGACATTTCTGTGGCATTCCAAGTGATTGGGTTCCATGGTTAGTTACTGATCCTTGCTATAACGTTGTGAGGCAGCATTCACCATCACCTCATTTTTATTGCTGTTAAAAGATCAGTACCTGGTGTGTCCACAGGAAACAGCAAGTTGAAGAGCAGAGTAAGGTATTAGGTTAAAATTGCTGTTGTCATAGGTCAAAAACGGTTGAATATTGGCAATTTTCTATGGCTCAACCTAACAGAACAGCCCACCGAAATATGGCATTTATTACTACTTGTGTCCCTTGATTTGTCCTATGCAAATTGAATATAGAATTCTTTTTTATAAAAATAATATTTCTTTCTGACCACTGTACATGTTGTGAAGCTTGCTTTGATGGCCATAGTATGTTTATTCCCAGTATAGATGCTTCAAAAATGTGTGTACAGTGAACTGCTGTCTTTAAGTTTACATGTAGCTGAAAGGGGCAGCAGAGATTTTATAGAAAACACACCCCAAAAAGCTATGACATTTATTTGGAAACAGTAGCATAGCTAACCATATGCTCATTTTCATATTCAGCTTGGAATGAGTACTGTTAAATCACTCTAAGAAATAACTTCACACTTTCTGAAGCAGTGATATTTATATATAGCATATTCATATGCCACATATTGTTTCCTGGCTTGTATTTTCAGTTTGTATTAGTAAAATTCAGTTGTATCTCTTTTTCACGGTTCTCTTAGGAATGAAAATTAATTTCGTATTTTTTTCCATATCGATCTACTACTAGTGCCTAAAGTATAGGGCCATGCCACAGTGAATCAAATTGATCTTATAACGAAACAAATACAGGGCCCCTTCTCCACTTTATCTTGATGTTTTGGCAAAAGTGGCCCTTCTTCACAAAACCTTTGGCTAGAGATTTAAGATAGTGGATCTCTTTATGTGTCAGGAGCACATCTGGTGATGGGATTCGTGATGAGGAATAGGGACTCCGTGGCAATCTGAAAGTGCAAAGCTCCATCTCACTTTGGTCTTGTTTTGGGTCTGTGTAACAAGAATTCCTATTCTATTATGTTGTGCTTTGGTTCTATAGGGCCAGTGCCAAGATCTAAGAAAGAGAAAACAGCTGGAGTTGCAGATACTTTCAGAACCTATTCAGGCATGGGAAGGAGAGAATATTAAAACCTTGGGAAACGTGCTGTTTATGTCACAAGTAATGATGCAATACGGAACGTCTGAGGTAAGATGTTTCAAATCTCAACGTCATTGCTTCCATCTTTCCTGCTTCTCTTCTTTGACTTGTCCTTTCGTCAAGGTCAAGTGCTTGAACATTCAAAGAAACTGAGCACCTCTTCTTTGCCCGGCACTCTGCTAGGTGCTGTGGGAGATAGGAGAGAATATGCGATAATCCCGGCCTTCGAGGAATGCCTTACAAAACAGATGGAAACTCAAGCTGCAACTAGCAAACAAACCCAAATAGTCAGCGTAGGTTGTGTGGTCTCCACAGTGGATTCCACGGAAAGCCTTATGGAGGTAGGACCTGAGGAGGAGGGCCAGGAAGAGAGATGGCAAGGATTTTGTAAGTTAGAGGCTGAAAGAACAGGAGCATGGCCTTTTGAGATGGAGAGAAACATCAGGTTTTGAGAACCCCGGGCATCAGGCAAGAGCTGTTCAGATCCACAAGGTAGGCAGCAGAGTCATAGAGAAACACGACGAAAGGGGTGATAACAATATTCACTCTGCCAACCACGTGTGTCAGTAAACTGGGGGGATGGGGCTAGGCACAGAAGGGACCAGCTGGGTTGCAAAGTGAGAAGCACCCCCCACGAAGGTGGTAGGGGAGAAAATGAAAGTGCAGGGGCAAATGAGCCCCGTTTAGGAGGGCAGGTTGAGAGGAAGCAGTGACCTGGGGGCCAGAGGAGACGATGGATGTTATCTTAGACCTGTTAACTTGCCTGTAACCATAGGTCTCCAGGTGGAAAGGTCTTGTAGGCAGCTGTTAAAACAGGAGAGAAATGTGAGTGGGAGTGAGAGGCAGAGATTCAGATGTCCCTGACAGATGTGCCCTCCTAGGAAGTAAATATCCGGAGAGAAGCACGGAGGGGTGAAGATGGATTATGTCTTTTAGGAAGGGGGCAGAGTAGGGGAGGAAGGTTGCTTATGTCACCTGGTATGATTTATCGAGTGTTAGAACTGCCTTCCCTGTCCCAAAACATCTTCCTATAGTCCCTGACAGGTCTCTGTCAGAGATTCATTACTTAGGGTTAATAAGCAATCTCATTTAAGATGCAGATACCCTGGGGAGGGTTAATGCGGTGGCCAGTCTAACTATTAGTCTTTCACACCTTTGGGATAAACCTCTGGGGTGAAGGGAGGAGGATCCAGGCCTGAAAGAGCTGACAAAGAGAACTGGGGAAGTGTGTTGTCATGGAAACTCCAGGAGGGGCTGTGGAAAGTGGTCAGCCTGCTGAGTGCCACTGAAGGTTCGAAGGTTCGGAGGTCAAGGAGTCTGGAGACCAAGAAGAAACCATTGGATTTCGCTAGAAGGCAGTTATTGATGACTTCGGGAGAGCAGTGGGGCTGCAGTTAGGGAGGAATCAATGGGGAGAAAAATGAAGACAGCAAGTAATTTGGCAATATAGTGTCAAGGACCAGGAGGTACTGGCAGACCTGGGAGATGTTGGACGTTGGGTTCCAGACACCTGCCATAAAGCAAACAGTGCAGTGAAGCGAGTCAAATGAAGTTTTTGGTCTCTCGGTGCATATAAAAGTAGTCTTTATGCTATACCATAGTTTATTAAGCGTACAATAGTGTTATGTCTAAAAACAGTTACGGACCTTAATCAAAAATACTTTATTGCTAAAAAATGCTAACCAGCATCAGGGCTTTCAGTGAGTCATAATCACTGATCACCATAACAAAAACAGTAATAGTGAAAAAGCTTGAAATGCGGCAAGAATTACCAAAACATGACAGAGACATGAAGTGAGCAAATACTGTTGGAAAAATGGCGCCTACGGACTCACTCCACACCGGGGCCCTACGAACCCTCAATGCGTAAAAACACGCACCCGTGAAACCCGATACGGGGAGGCTCAGTAAGGTGAGGCAGGCCGGTGTTACACAGAAGGAGCCACGGGATCCATGAAGGCCTGTTAGGACAGAAGCTGGCCATATGCTAACAAGCAGAAGAGAAGAAATTAGGTAAGTGGGCGAGGCTGCTGAAAGGACAGGGAAGAGACAGAGTGTCTGCAGAAGGAAGCCAAGCAAGAGAAAGACGTGAGAGGGTGCAAAGAACTTGCTAGAAGAGTGAGCCTCAAAGGATTGATTGCCTTTCTCAAGTGCAAGGAAGGAGATGGAGATAGGCATAAGGATCATTGTAGCTAACATGGCTGGATGTGTCAGCCAAACAGAAGTTTTTGCACCTACTAATCACATATCTGTGTAAGGAGTTCAGAGAAGCCCTCTTGTGTGAAGTTTCCTTTAGTGCCATTTTCAAAAAGTATTTACTTCTTCGTGTTATGTGGGAACAATAGCTACCTTGTTCTAAAATTTTAGTGATTGGGCAACCTGGGTGGCTCAGTGCTTTAGCGCTGCCTTCAGTCCAGGGCATGATCCTGGGGACCCAGGATCGAGTCTCATGTCAGGCTCCCTGCATGGAGCCTGCTTCTCCCTCTGCCTGTGTCTCTGCCTCTCTCTCTCTGTCTCTCATGAATAAATAAATAACATCTTTAAAAATTAAAAATAAATTAAAAATAAAATTTTAGTGATTAGTGATTTTATAATTAAGATTAAAATTAATTTTATGAATAGGATTTTAATATACATGCTAGAGCATAGTAAACTTCCTATTGCCCCAAAGCCCCTTCTGCTTTGCTCCTTTTCAAAGGAAAAATCATTTTCATTTTGTAAACCCAGAGACTTGTGCCTTGCCATTAACTGTGTGATGTCTCAGGTGTGCGTACCTGGGGAACCAGCATGGTTAATTTGTATCTAACTTATGTATATGAAGAAAAGGGATAAACCAGGGGTTTGTACTCCTATCAAAGCAAAATTCAACCAGTTTTGTGCTTTTAGGTTGGGTATCTGTTTTAAACGGTCACTTTTTGTGCTCTGTTGCCTTATACAAGCTCTGTGTTATACAACAGTGACTCCAGAAATTCTTAACAAATAAAATGTCCAATTTCTGTTCTCCACTTAACATTTTTTCATTTCACTTTAGGAGAAAGAGGAGCGGTACCTCATGCTGTTTTCAAGTGTCTTGATAATGTTATCTGCAAGTCCTCGGATGAGTGGCTTTATCTATCAGGTTAGTAGATTTCATATAAAGCAAATAGCAGGATCCAGAATGAAAACAGGTTTCCATCCAGATGCAATATTTCCACTCTGGCATTAAAAGCTCCAGCCAGAAAAGACAGAATGTTCTGACCCTTTGTTGTAATTAAACAGCTTATAACAGCAGATGTTCCTTAGATCAGAAACCTTTATATCACTGTAATGAGTTTATATTGAATATCCACTGCTCTGGTTATGAGCTAGGTTATGGATGTTCAAATAGAATTCTGAGTCTACAACCAGATAAATTAGCAGTCATATTTCACAGGCTCATATCATATCATTATTGCTGAGAAACTATAAAGCTGGGGCGGGGCTGCTCCTGTGACTGTCTGATTGCAGTCATATCACATGATTTGGGGTTCTGAGGTGCAAGTCATGAAACTCCTTAGGAAATTAAACTTCCTCTGTCTGCTCCCAAAATATGGAAGGCTAGTGAGTTACTGTCATCTGTTATAACTGGCTTAGTGATTACTAATTTTCATAAAATTGGAATTTTTTTGAATATTTACTTTGTTTACTGATTCTCCCCCAAATGTGTTAGAAAAAAGTAAGCTGTTTGTAAATCCCCACCGTATGGTTTAGGGCGTGTTAGCAAAACACAACCCACATTTCCCCCCTTGCTTTTTTGTCTAATTAAAATTAAAAGCAGGAAAACATATTATCTATTGACAGGCCAGAGAGATTTGTCTGGCCATAATTCAGCAGTGATTCCTGAGAGGGTCAGAAAAATCTGATAGACATAAGCAGGGATGCATATAAGCACAGAATTAATGGAAATGTTCTTTTTCCAATAGGGAAAAATACCAGTGGCGGGAATGGTGGTGACCAGATTAGATGAAATTGAAGGGAATGACAATACATTTGAAATCACAGGTAGGTAATTTTATTTTTTTCAAGTAGCTACTTGAAATCCTTTTTGGAGCAAAGTGGGATTTAAATAAATAAATGCTATTATTTTCTGCACTAAGTCTATGAGCAACAAGCTTTACCTGGGCACGGCAAGGTTTGTTCTCTTTCCCGGGATAATTAGCATCCAGTGAAAGAACAAAGTCTTTCAGTCATTCAAAAGCCTCAGCTTTGCCATTAGTTTCAATCTTTTCTTGCACAGGAGCCACTTGTTAGAACTAAAAAATAACAAAACAGGCTGATGTAAATGAACAAATTGAGCAAAATACCAGGCCTGACCTTTGTGGCCTGTGGTCCCTTTTGCCAGGCCTGTGTAATTTCCATGTGGCGGTTTTCCTTTTTTTACTGACATGGCACAGTGGCTAGTACTGGGACTATGGCCCCAGGCCTCCCCCCTTCTTCCCCAGTAGGGAGCCTAGCTTGGCTGTTGGCCTTGTTTCAACTTGAATATTGGGTAAAGCAGGACAGCATTCTCATTGTAGGCTGTGAACTAGATGGGCTTTGTGCTTACACTTTTGCACTGTGAGTTTGTTTAAAGTGAAGTTTTAGACTACTTTCCTCAGATTCTGTAAGCAGTAGAAGTCAAGGACAGTTTTAAAAGTCAGGCACAGAAAAAAAAATCAGACACAGATATTTCTTTCCTTGCTTCATTACCTATTCCTGACATAGAAGTTTCCATAGGGTCATGGGGTGACCCCTCCTGATAACAGACACCCAATTCTTAGTTGCGTCAGGTCTGTTTATGAATGAGGTGCGTTCAAGCTTCTCCTTGCCTCTTATTTCCAAATGCTCACCATCGGGCGATGCAGGTAACATGGTCGACAGAATTGTGATCCACTGCAACAATAGCCAGGACTTCCAGGAGTGGCTGGAGCAGCTGTGCAGACTGATCAGGGGCCCTGCCTCTTGCAGTTCCTTATCCAAAACATCATCGTCATCTTGCAGCACTCATTCTGTAAGTAGTCCACTTGTGCGGCTTGGGGACTGATGAGTCTCTCATCAGACCTGCCTGCAGAGAACTTTCAAGAAGCAGTTAGCATGCCCTCAGTCTTTGGGTCTTCTATATTTGTAGGTTTTGAAGTACAGTAAAACCTCATTAATTCTGATTTCTTGCTGTGGAGGGAGGCCCATCCAAATTAATAAAACATTTTACCGAGGGATGTGCACTTTTGTTTGACAATTCTAAGCAACTCCCCCTGACTGCCAGCAAAGTTTTTCTCATCACGAGTCCTGCTAAGACATTTCAGTGATAAACAAGATTCATGTGAATTGTCAACCATTAGTCTCATGTGAATTGTGTGCTGAGTCAAAACACAGAGTTTACCTTCGTAAATCCTTAAGTGCCCTCATGGAATCTCATTTATGCTACTGCATTCACTAGGTCAGCTTTAAGGGTAAACTCTCAGCGTTGCCTTCTTCCAGGTTATCATGAATTTGGAATTCCTAGAATCGGAATCGTTGAGATTTTACTGTATGTGCTGAGTGAGAGCGCAGATTGTTGTGTTGTCTGTTAACACTCAAATGGGCAATGCCAAAACCCCAGTCTTAAGTAGTGTGCATTGTGGTGGGAAGAACAAGGGCTTTGGCATCAGATCTGAGTTCAAATCTTGGCTTGTTCAATTGCCAGCTAGCTACTTTGCTTTGCTAAGGTTCGTCTTAAGTCATTCTGCCAAAATAACCTATTTCGGCACCTAGTAGAGTGCCCAACGCATGACTGAATGCAGTCAATGTTGACTCAGCTTTCCTGCTTCCTAAAGGAAAGCCCCCCCTGACTTGAGTGACATTCCCAAAGAGAGAGGGAAGACAGGATCATAGGATGTTGAGTCAATTTTGTGCTGTTCCTTAGAGACCCCATAATCTGAACTGGAAAGTGCCAGTTCCCAAACTGGAGAATTTTGTTTTCCCACCTCTCCTTTTCTATGGCTGGCTTTGCTGATCCAATGACACTGTCGCTGTTCTCTCGCCGTGTGGCACAAGGTCGGGTTCAGACGGCAGATTGCCAACATCTCATCAGACATTTTCCCAGTCTTTTAGCTCTACTGGACAGCCCCGAGGACCCCTGGAACCTCCTCAGATTATAAAACCGTGGAGTTTAAGTTGTCTACGACCCGCACCTCCACTTAGACCATCAGCAGCACTAGGTTATAAAGAGGTAATTTTGCTACATGTGGTATAAAATGCTTCTGACAAGCTAATTTCATAGCTCGTTACAAAGAGTTCTGTGGGAATGTGCTAGAACTTATGCTAGGTGATACATGTCAATCAATTATGAATTGTTAGACTCAGGGGTTTTGTTTGTTGCTTAATTTCCCTTTTTCCCATGGTCCCCGCACAAATACTTAGCAAACATCCACAGAGTTTCTGTGCACTGCCTGAGTTCCCTGGCCCCCTCCTGAAGTGCCTCTGGCTCACCTGATTGTATACTTTGGTAATAATGTCCACACATCTCAAACAAGAGCCACTTCATTTGACTTGAATTTCCGACCAAGAAGACCCAATTCTGCATTTTGGACCATTTTGATCTATTAAGCCAAACCAGGAAAGTCTTATGGGACCAAGCCGTGAGTCTGAATTTTGAGGGTCTAGACTTTTTGCTGCAGTTGAGAAGGGAAAAGAATTTAATGAAAAGAACATCTTTTCCACAGAGGCTTCTAAGCGACAACCCTAGAAGACATAGGATAAATTTGGGTAGCGGGGGGACTTTGAGGTTCTTTCTATTTTTTCCTGAAAGTCGCAGTCAGGAAATGTCAGTCACTAGCTTCTAGGACTATATGGACTGTTACTTTTTCCATCCAGTGTTTTTTGGGTTGGTTTTTTTCCCCTAAGCTGTTTCTCATCATTTCAGCTTTCAGTAAAGAGCCTCATTTATTCGGAACTGTTCTTTACCCAGATCTTACCAAGTGAAAGTTTAAGTCCATGACGGTTATGAGGTACATCTTAGAATTAGAGGTAAAGACAGCATATCAAACGTGTGCTTTGACATGTGATACAGATTTAGCTCCATTTCAAGTTGATCTTGATTTCAAACACCATGCTGCTGTTTCCATTAATTGTTGCCTTCGACTCCACATGCAGTAAAAAATAGAACAAACTTTGGGCACTGGAGGACTTTTTTGATCATTTCAAAAAAAATGATACGGGCACAACAGGAGAAATAATGTTTGAGCTGAATCCTTATCATGTACCTCTGTTCAGAATTGGGCCAGGAAACAGTCCCACAGGTTTGCTTTGGAAATCGACCAGTGATACCCGCAAGCATCCAGTTTTCTTCTCTGATTACGTAAAGCAGGAGTGCCACTGCATAGTTATCTGGGTCCCCTTTTTAACGATGGATATTTTAGAATTGTCAGTTACTAAGTTCAAATGAAGGTGAGCCTTGAAGGGTAAAGTTTACTTAATCCTTCACAGAACTAATCCATTAAAACTAAGGCATGATCGTGTTGTTTCTGCTGGGAGAAGAGAGTTATTAATATATTCTTACTGCATCATAGTGTGTATTTCGGTTATTTTCAGTATTTGTTATTCTGCATAGAACTGTATTTCTTGGGCTTTTGCATGATGCTATTGCATCTGAGACTAATGTGGGAAACATAATGATATTCCTTCTGTGTAATTGATGATAACACTAACATTTCAAATGTTGTTTTAGAATTATTGATAAATGGATTTGATCATTATAACCATCGACCTCTCATGCTCATCTTCTCTTTCTTTACATATTCACTTTAGAGGATGTCTTATATCTTGAAGGTAAGGGTAGAACAATATCTTTGGCTTATGGTGACGTCATAATGCTGTGCTGTAACCTTTGATGAATGAAGCTTTCCTTTATGCCTGTTGTGTCCCTTGTTCTAATTGGTGGCTAGAGTATGAAGATGCAATTCTGACATGTAAGTATTTGCTTCAAAAAATCAGGCTCTTATGAAACACATGTGAAACTGTAGTCTTAGATGCCTTAAAAATGCCTGTTTTCCTTGTGTTTTTTTAAATTGCTCCTTTTCCTGTTATTTTTGTCCCTCGTGAGTTTTCCATGTCTGTCTGTTCTCAAGTCTAAGTGGGTCACTGTGGTTAAATGGAAGAAATTAAATTCTTTGTTCCATATATTTTAAGGTACTAGTTATTATCCATACATCACTTATATACACATGGGAGATTGGGATAAGAATGGTCACTAGGGTCTAAGATTCTAATCTGTTTACTTGGGTACCTGTTCACGGGCTCTGGTTATTCATACGGCAAAAGCAAATTCAAGAATCCATGGCTCTTTTATCTACTAATTTAAAATACACTTTATATATGTATTTTTAAGCTTGGGTCTACACCCATTACTCCTAACCCCAAGTTATTTATTCAGAGATCCCTCATTTTGCTCTTCTCTCTGACTTCAGGGAAACTATTTGGTCCCTCTGCCTTAATTTTTCCATCTGAAAAATGGAAATTAATATTCTTTCCGGGACTGTTGCTAAGGAAAATGTATTTAAACCGCTTTGAAACTCTTTGAAAAGCAGTATATACTACAATTGTTGTTTAATTCCCTTAACACTGTATCAGTGAAGACCATCAACTAAGTTAGGAATACGGGTATTTCCCTAGGATCGACACCCACTACTTTCTTTGCAGATGGCACCCATCCCTATGGCAATTGAAGAGACAATGTCATTGCCTCTGTTTTATGTGATCTTTTAGAATTTACTGGAGCCATTTTTATTGTGTACATTATTAAATTTTGATGCATTCTTGAGACTGTTAAAGTAAGGGAGAGTCACGCAGTTTAAGTTCGTTTGCTCTTTTTAATTTGTTTTTTTGGGGATAATTCTAATTCATAAAGAAACCTCTATCCTTACAGGAGTCTAGTAAAAGCCCCAAAACAATGAAGAAGTTTCTTCATAAAAGAAAGACGGAAAGAAAGCCATCTGAGGAGGAATATGTGATTCGGAAAAGTATGTGTCTTGCACTTTTTTGACAGTTGGTTATGGATGAGCTATCAGAAGAATTTTGTTGAAAGCAGATGATTAGAGCCATTTGTTCCCCGTTATCACCTGTTACACAAAGAAAAATGCCATTCTAGGGCTGGTCACTTCTAAGCTTTTTGAATGAGCTGCCTGCTTCTGCACTTCATGTGATCTGAGGCAGACACCATTGTATGATCTTGGCATAGAATATTTTACCCCACCTGGGTGAGAACCACTAAAGGGCCTCATTTGCTACAGATTCATTTCTTTCCCTCAGTTTCTCATACACAAGATGTTTTCCCTACTGAGATAGACGAAACAGACCTGAAGGCTGAAATCCTTCTGGAAGTTTAATGCTCAGTGACATTTCCAGTTAGCTAAGCAGTCACCCTGCTGCCATGTAGAAATGGCTTGATTCTGAGGCGGGCTACAGAGTCCTTTGGCCAGTGCATATGTCCGTATTTGCCTCTATGACTGGGACCGAGGTACTCTGGGAGACACATGAAGGAGTGAGTGGTACATCCCAAAAGGGTCGCAGAATTGTGTGTCTCAGGCAAAAGTAATCTGTAGAAGTCTTTACTGGACTCCAGCTTCTGCATCGCCCAGCCCACCCCTTGGTGCATGCATCATCCCTCGAGCGGGGTTCCGCCTCCCAGTCATTTCAAGAAAGAGTTGGAGGGGAAGGGAGAATCAATGACTCTGCTGGCTGATTGGGAAAAACCGGGTGAGGTCTATGGGGGAAAGCTTCCTAGAGAAGGGATGCCTTGCAATTTGGAGGGGAGGCAGGCTGTGGTGTATGTTGGGTGAGAACTGAGGCTAGCGCCGAGCCTGGTGCTGTCATCATGGCCCCTAGCAGTCTAGTAAAAGCCTCCAAATGATGTAGAAGTTTCTTCAGAAAAGAAAAATTGAAAGAAAGCTGCCGCTGCTGGCAAAGGCTTTCCGGTCAGGGAAACCAGTCCCCAGCAACTGAGTACATGGCATCATTTTGAGGGTCCAGAGGTGGATCTCTGTCTGCAAAGTCATTATTAATTAAATCCAATAGGTACGGCTGCTCTGGAAGAGGATGCTCAGATCCTTAAAGTGATTGAAGCCTACTGCACCAGCGCGAATTTTCAACAAGGCCATGGCTCAAGTAGGTTCCCCCCCAAACCACTTTCTCTAATGAATGCTGTTTCTTTTTGACTGCTCAGCACCTCTTTGAAAAAGAGCAAAGCAACCCAGATGGGTTGCAGGGTGTGGAAAGCAGGTGACCTGGTGCAGAACTGCATCTTTCCGATAAGGTGCTTTTAGCTGCCAGGCGGTTTGTTTACCACTCTTTCTTTTCACTCAGAGAGAAAGAGAGACGCAAGAGTAAAAAAGTTGGAGGTGATAGAAATGAAAAAAAGAAGTCTTTTTTTTTAAAAAAGTCCTTCTCCTTTGAAGTATACAGATACCTTTGCCAGCACTAGTTAGGAATTAAAGAGCCCAGAAGAGTTCCTGTGTCTGTGAACTGATGGTAATCTCTTCTCATAGGCAGATTTGGAAAGGAAGTTACAATACTATCTTTGATCAGCTGCATTTTTAAGCGAACAGTGCTCCACCCAGCTTGAGTTTCAAAGTTGCTCTGAAAATCTGGAAATGTAGCTGCTTAGCAGGGGCTGTTTGGAATGTCTGCAGTTTTCAGGGAGTGATCAGGAAGGGTGTTCCCCACTCACTCCAACACCTTTCAGGCTATAGAACTGAAAGCGAGATGAGGTTTTCTGATTGATCCTTGAGCTTCTCAAAAAACTGGGTCGCATCAGTCCTGTCTTGTCTTGCATGATTATAGACATTCAGGAGACCTCTGTGAGGTGTTTGCATCCACACAAGAAGTGAGTTCTCCATAATGCTCCATTTTGGACAGCTGCTGTCCATCACTCGAGTTGGAGGTGGGGATCACTTGGGTGCTTCCAAAGGAACTTGTCCCTAACTAAGGCTGGCATGAGGAAAACATTTGATGTCAAACTTGACACATTTGGCCGTGAAGAGAGGTCTGTCACACCCTCTGCTTCACAGATAGATCCTGGTGGTGGCTTTGGACATGCCCAGCTCTGTGAACAAGTTTCAAGGAGGCAGGAAAGGACAGCGAAAGCAGTTTGGGGCATGAAAGCTAGGAAAGAGAGGGGGACAGGGAGACACCAGAAGAAGCCTCCCTCGTACAAAACGTGACCTCATCTGCTCCCCAACCCTGCTCTCTTCACATTCACGGCATCCGCAGATCTGTAGGAGGCACAGGCAGGTGTTCTGGCCTAAAGAGCCACGTTTCCGCCCCTCCTACCTAGCCTGTCCCCGACACGTGGCAGGTTGTCTAGCATCGTGGTGACCTTCCATCCTCTGTCCCTCTTCAGCTGGAAGTCCTGTTTCCTAGGACCTCGCTGCTGTTATTTCCTGCTGCATTTAACCAGTGAGTCAGCCAGTCTGCTGTCTAATTATTAAGCACCTACAGAGTACTGGGCCCAGGAAGGCAAAGCCACTGCCACCTGAGCAAAGATGAGACAGTGAGCGCACACAACTTGAAGGCTCAGGGAGACTTAAGATTAAGGCCTTGAGCTCCAGGAGGAAGGATCCAGAAGTGAGGGGGAGGTTAGAGATGCAGGAGAGCTGTTTGGTCCAGTCCCTTGTCTGTTCTGTCACCTCTTCCATCCCCAGAGCCTGGAGACTGTCTGAGCAGAGCCATGAGGATGTCCACACCTTTGTGCTGGTGTGACGACCCCCAAACCCCTCTCCACCCTTGACCCAAATGAACTTGACTGATAAAGTGCTTCCACCCTGGCCAAAATCCAATTGATGTAGTTGTCTGTTTTCTCATGTCAGCAAATGTTGAATGGCTGCTCTCTGGGTGCAAAGCAGCAACATGCCATCAGCAGAGACCCCTCAGTGACGTTAGTAGAAGGGACCAACACCTAGAATAGTCTCTGCTAACTCTCCCCTCTCGTCCCTCTTGCAACCCTTGTTTGTAGGTGCTCGCAAAGATTCACTTCCACAAGTCTTACTCCCTGAGGAAGAGAAACTCATCATTGAAGAAACCAGGAGCAATGGCCAGACTATCATTGAAGAAAAGTGAGTAGAGTGGGCTACCTTTTCTGATTTGTCTGGGGACTGGAAATAAGGTTCCAGAAAGGCAATGCATCTCTTGCAAAGCCCACACTGAAGGACAGTCCCTCCTTCTCCAGGAATATAGTTGGGAGGTGCAGGAGGGCTGCCCCCACAATGAGGGGAAGGCAGAGGGCCTGGAACTCTGTGTGTGGTGGCTGCCCCTGGGGCTAGCTCCCCCATACAGTAAAGTGCTTCAGGGTATGCAAGAATCGCACTCTAGATGGGTTTAGATGGTGCTTGGGAAGGCCACAGCACCAATTTCCTTGCCCAGAGGGATGCTTCTCACACTTACTGAATCAAACACTGGACTTTCACATACTTGGCCTATTTAGCATCCTACAGAAACCCAGTGAATTAAGCATTACTTTCATCAATTCTATTGAAGTTGAGGTTCAGGGAAATGATGTTCCTGGTCTACCTTTGCACACTAATGAGGGTGACCTAATGGGGAAAAATCAGGTTAAGTACCTATGGGCTCATAAAATAAACACAAAGTAGCCAAATAATTCATTTGTTTAAACTTGAGTCATTTCTGAAGTCAGGCCTAAATTTGCATAGTACAGCATATTTCAAAGTGCTTGACATCGTCAATGTATTTTTCCATCTGGTATACGAAGTGATGTGGCAAAATGGTAAAGTGCTTGGGCTCAAGAGAACAGTCCTGGTTCAAGCCCAAATTCAGCATCGTGTTAGCCGTGTGACCTGGGGCCAGCCTCTTTACTGTTCTGTGCCTCCATTTCCCCATCTGTAAATAAGTATGATAGTAATACTTTAAGGTTTGTTGTGAAGTTAAATGGAATCATAAGTATAAAGGCTGGCACATAGTAATCACTCAATAAATGATAACAGTTGTAATAAGGATTGTTATTATAGAGAGCTATATTAATCCCCACAACAACTTTGTGAAGTTTGTGGGGAATGTGGTATTATCCCACATTATTTTGTATGCGAAGAAAGTAAGGCAAGGAGAGGAGAAAGAACCTGGTTACCCAAGGCCGGAGGATGGTAAGTGGTAGGGTCAGACCTGGAACCCAGATCTCTAGAATTCTTGTCCAGGGAGAGAGCCATCTGGGAATTAACTGTTCCATGACTCAGGCAGGGCATTTTATCCTCTTTTGGAACAGATGAGACCTTCCAGAAAGAATGCCCCTGACTTTGTGTCATATAGGGTCACGTAGGGTCACAGAGGTGAGAGCAGCAATGCCATAGCACAGGATAAGCAGGGCCTCATGACACCCCTCATTATATGTTATGTGATGTTCACTCCTGCTCTTAAGAAAGTCAAAACCTTGCGATGAGCTCTAGTCTCTTTTTTTGTAAATCCCCCAAGCTGGGAAGTAAGTGGCCAAGGAGGAGGGCACTATAGTAAAGGTGTAACGACATGGCATTCGAATGAGCATGTGGGCTGGTGGTGGTTTGCCCATAAAAATAGAGACCACAGGGGCCATTCGTAGCAGTATCTTTCCCAACCAGCTAGAAAGGCCAATGTTTTTCAGGATCTGTATTTCTTGAAAGCGGCTTTTATGGTTAAGTTTTATGTGACAGTGTTTCAGTGCCAGCTATGAATCTCTGAACTTTATGTTCTAGGAGTCTGGTTGATACTGTGTATGCCTTGAAGGATGAGGTCAAAGAACTGAAACAGGTAATGAAATATATAACTGATTTTCTTGGGTCATATAATAGGAACAAGGTGGTGAGGTGGGGATTTTTCTTATTTCTACAGGGTGAGTTCTGTTGATTTTGCCATGTAGTGTTGGGTTTAAATTTCTTAGGCTTGCTCCTATACCCATTTAGTGGTTTACAATAGGTTCCCAATACTTAGTTAAACTTTCATGTTCTCTGACATTTGTAAACAGAATTTTAGAAAAGATAAGTCATCCACGAGTGTGTAAGTATAAAGAGAACCATAAATCTTGATTTGCGGGCTCCTCTGAAGATGTGATCCAGTACTCCATGATGCACACTCTTCCTGGTGTTTGGGGACTGGCTGCACCTGGTGACGGGGTAAAGGATGGACTGGAGAGGGAGAACAGAGGCTAGAAGACCTCTTGGGAGGTTATCCATCACAAAACTCAGGGTGAGACACAATGGAGTTCTGAACTGAGGCAGTGCCATTGAGGCTGCAGAGAAGGAAAACAAATGTAAAGGAAGGCACATCGTAGAGTTAGAGCCTATGGAAAATTGATGCCGTGATGTTGGGATTGAGAGGGAGAGCCAGAGATTGAAGATGAGGCTTCTTACATGGATATCTACTTGGATAGGGCAGTGCCCTTCACGAACTCAGGAACCACAGGAGGAAAAGAAGTTTGGGGTGACAGAGGAGAGACTGAGTTCACTCTAGGATATGAGTCTGAAGTGCTTGTAAATATCAACTCGACACTAGGGACTGTGGACCTGGTGCTCGTGAGATGAGATGAGGTCAAGTGTCAGAGGGATTAGGGAGGCCCCTGAGTTGAGCTGAAGAAGAGACACTAGATGAAAAGAGAGCTGAGTTGGAAGAGGGCCTGGGCCAATACTGTACAGGACGCTTAGACTGCAAGCAAGAAGACTGCAAAGGCTCGGCCAGAGAAAGGTAGGAGAATCAGGGGGCTGCCTTGTCCTAAAAGCTGAAGGAGAGGAGTCTGAGGAAGGAAAGTGTAGTCAGTGGTGAAAGCTGCCAAGAGGAGGAACAGGAGGAGCCCTGGGAAGGGGCCACGTAGTTTGGGAATTAATGAGTCTTTTCTCATCGTAGGAAAATAAAAGAATGAAGCAATGCCTGGAAGAAGAATTGAAATCAAGAAGGGACCTAGAAAAGCTGGTCCGGAGGCTGTTGAAGCAAACTGATGAGTGTATTCGGGCTGAATCCAGTAGCAAGACCTCCATTCTTCCATAACTATCACTGTGCAGCTGGGCAGACGTGCCTTCGGGGCATCTCGAAATGTCCAGATGAATGATTTGTTTGCTCACTTCCTTGGCTTTTATTTTGTATCTGAGTCAGTCCTCTCTCCCCCCTTCCATTCCCCTGCTCTTGCTCTTGCTTTCTTTCTCTGTCTGTTTGCTTGAGTGTTTGTTGTTGTTTGGTTATTGGTTGGTTGTTTTCTTTCTGACAGGGGTAAAAGTGAAAGTGGTGGTGGAAGTCTCTCCAGAGTCTTTTCCATTCAATAAGAAAAGGAAAACTAGTATAGGCAAATGACTTAAATGGTCTTCAGATGGCCTTCAATTCATAGTGCCTCTTCAACCAGCCATTTCCCCTCCTCGCCCCGCCCCATCACTCTTTTGGGCTGGATGCCATGTCAAAGTGGCTGGCCATGGCTTAGTAAATGTGAACTTGACTTTTTCTCTCATGCTTTCTTGTATCTGGAAGCCCCTCTGTACCCAATTTAAGGAAGACAAAGCTCCTTGAGCTATGACTAGGGTAGGGTGATTGGAAGACTAGCACATTTGCCCAGTGACCCAGCCACCCTCCCTGGACTATCATGTGCCACCCCTCAATGCACACTTTTTTAAAAAAATTACTGCCCTGTGTTGTCTATAAGGCCAAGAAAACAGTAGCACCCTTATTCCTTTTGTGTGCGTTTACATTTTAACTCTATGGGGCAGAAGCTCTGGTCATCCATGCCAATACCAGATCCATTAGCAAATTGCACTAGACAATCTTCCCCTTCAGCAGCAGAGTTGATCATCCCTCCCCAGTGCATGATAGATTTCCCCCACAACCTTCTGCCTCGTATGTAAGTTTTATATTTCCCCAGTGCTTTTAGCCAACCATATGAAGCGATGTGTAAACTAGTATGTGTGTGCTTCGCTTCCTTTTTGAAAATATAGACTGTGAGCAGTTGCTTCATCTACACTGCATATTCAACTTGTGACTTCTCATCCTTCAAAACAATCTGCATTGAGGAGCTATCATGCCCTAGTAGACTGCTTTAATTCACTTTATTGCTCTACCAGGTATGCAGTGAGAAGCTGTAATATTCCTCAGCCTTGAAGCATTATTTGCAGAAATGTGCTCTTGGTCCAGTTTGTATATCCAGAAAGAATGGACACCTCTAGTGGTTGTGTGCTGGTTGCTAGTGAAGCTCAGGATTTGGAACTGGTTTACTAAAGTGGCTCATTAAATCCAACAATCACCTTTGTAAGTGTCTCAACAATTAGAACTGTGGTAAACCAGGTTTAGAAGGAGGGTCACAGAAGAGCAGAACTCATGCAAATTCAGCACAACTGAAAGTCAGCACAGTGCAACCCACCCCTCTCTCTCCCCAAGACAGGTGCAACTGGGCAGGTGGGGAAGATCACTGGAAAGAGAGGCAGAGGGCCAATGGTCTGGTCAAGGTAGTCTTCCAGATACATTTGGCGGGTGCCTATAAATGTGGGTTTTGCAAATGTTATTAAGAAAGCACACTTGAAGCTCGAATCCCCCAGCTTGCTAAGCTCTTTTTCTTTCTCATACTGGGGTGGGGGGGCGTCTCAAGTTCCCATAGCTACACGGTACAGGGCTGTTGACTACTTGCTGCACAGCAGAAATGACACCATCCACAGGAAAGGGACTCTACCTGCAGTCCGCCATCAGCCAACCACATGCAGCCATCTTTGGAAGCTGAAGAGTGAAGATTTCTAGAAATGGCCGTCATTCTGTTTTTAAGCCCAGAAGCTTAGCTGTGCCATCCTTCACCTAAAAATTAACAACAACCACAAAGATCTGAGCATCTGCCCTGTCTGTGGTTAATCAATGGCTTACAGTAAATGTGCACATTATATCCATAGGGAACATTTTTGTGATTACAAAATACTTTAGTAGATAAGGTACAGGATTGCTTATAATACTGAAAGGTCTTTATTTTAAAGTAAAGTGTACATATGCATGTTTTTGGAACTTGACCTTCTGAGGAGAGGCCCTCGGTACTCTGGGTAGTGAAGCTCGTGCAGAGTGTGGTGTCTGCGCTCACACAGTAAGCAGTAATATAAAGGAAATGAAGCCATGTTAACCTGAGAGCAGTGTCTTCATAGTTGTGTTGTTTACATACTCTATAAGTGGGTTCCTCTTACTCTGTAATTAAACTGCTGCCCTTAGAGGCTTTTTAGTTCCTCTTCCATCATGTTCCTTCTTACACAAGCTCAAATTTTCTAACTTGTTTTTATTTTGAAGACTTTTAAAATGGACGTTTTCAATAAATAAGAATAACAGTGCTTTATAAACTAAGTCCTGTGTTTTCTTTTCTTTTTCTTTCTTTTTCTTCCTTTTTTTCTCTAACCAGTGTGCAGAAGGATTTTTCATGCTATGGCAGCTTCCTCCCCCATTTACTCATTAGGCGTCCGCTCTCCAGCTGTCTTCCACCTGTTTCAGTCTGGGCAGGTGAGATCTGCTCCCTGCTTTACAGAGATAATACGGGCCTTCCTTAACTTCTCCACCCCTCTCCTTCCATCCTCAACCTATGAACTGTACACTATTTTCCATCCTGTATCAGGATTTTGTCAACCACTTGAAGCCTACATTTTGACTGCAGTTGGAATGCTGGTGTCAGCAGTCAAAATAAAAATATTTGCTCCACCTCGAGACAGGTGTGCTGTAGGTATCTGTTGCTACTCAGCTTCCCTTCCTACCCCTTTTGTGTTTCTCCCTGGAAGCCTAAAAAAACAAAACAAAAGGCCTATCTCAGACTCCGTTGCAGCTAGGGTTCTCTATACAATGTGGGTTCTGACGTATTTTCAGTTCTGCCAATGAGATGCCTTTGCATGATGTTTGGAAGGTTTACGTGAGGCAGAGGCCATCTTCCTGGGGCTTGGCAGCTGGTGGGCACTCATGGCTTTGTGCTTGGGAGATTGTTGTGGCAGTGGTGGGGGTGGAACAGGAGTAGAAGCTTCCTGGACCAAATTTGGATCACAACTACAGTACAATGACCTTGAAGCCATTAGTCCAACAGAAGCCCCCTGACTTCCTCTCCTGTAGCCAGTGATTTTTTAGGCACCAAGTATTACCTTTCTGCTTAGGATGCCTTTGGAAGCTATGTCTCCTACTCTGAAGCAGTAGATCCAATATCACACCTCCCATGTTCTGGGCTCTATCCTAAGTGTTTTATATGGTTGAGCTCACAAAACATTTGCACCCACTGTATGAAGTACTGGTTATCCCCATCTTAAAAAGGAACAGAGGCACAGGTGTTGAACAAGATGCTAGTATGTGTGGAGCTGGGATTCCAAACCTTGGTCCGTCTGCCTCTGGGATGCATGCTCTTTCTACCATGCTTTCACTTCTATACTTGGAGCCTACTAAATAGGCTTCTTCCTCAGCGACCTACTCTCATGAAATCGCTAATGAGCTCTTAATTGAAAAATCCAGGGAACACTTTTCAATTCTTCCCTTGACATCTCCACATAATTTGACCCTCACCTCCTTGATAAATCTCTCCTTCCTTGGCTTTCATTATCCCAACTTTTCTGGCATTCATTCAATCTTTCTGACCACCCCTGTCTTCTTTGCTGGCTTTGCCTCCTTTGTCTGTCCCTTGAACATTTGATATCCGCGACACTTCTTCTCTTCCTTTTTATAGCCTCTTTCTGGAGAACCTCATCTATTCCTAAAACCTCATTGATGAAAATGCAAGTGACCCCCATGTCCGTGTTTTTCCATCCCAATCTTTCTCCTGAGCTCCAGACCCATGGATACAGCTACTTCCTGCAGTCTCAACTTGGTTGTCCTACAGCACCTTGAACTCAACATGTCCGAAATAGGACTCCTCATTTTTATTCCCAGATCAGCTCCTCCAATGTTTCCCATCCCGGTGAACAGCACCCCTGGCCACTTAGTTGCCTATCAGGAAAATGGGCATTATCATCTGCTCCATCCTCTCTCTCAACCCTGTGTAAATTTATACATTAACCCTTTATAAGTCTAGCTATCCACTCTTACCATTTTTAACTCTGTTGTATCATCTGAATTCCTCTCCATCCTCCTGACCATCACCTGTTTTTGGCGCTTATCATCTCTCCCTTAGACTAATGCATCTCCTTGCCTCTTGTGTCACCTTCTCTAGTCAATCCTCTTTGGTTCCCATGGCATGGTTACCTAAGAGATCGATGTCATTCATCTGTTTAAAAAATTAGTCTCTTGCTACTCCTCACCACACAGTAAAATTTAATTTCCATGAATTTCTCTTAAGTCCTATAATATGCCTTTTGCCCTGCCGAATACACCTATCCCTTTCCCATTCCTGTCCATCAAGCAAATTCTTTCCTTTCCATTTAGAATCAGCTTACATATCTATGTGAACTCATGATCTCTAAAACACGTATATATATGTGTGTGTCTCTGCATGTGTATGTGTACATTTATATGTATGTACTTTATATGTTTGTATGTATTAGGATTGCCAGATAAAATACAAGATGCTCAGTTAAGTTTGAATTTCAGCTGGGGCACCTGGCTGGCTTGGTCGGTAGAGCAAGCAACTCTTGATCTTGGGGTCTTAAGTTCAAACCCCATGTTGAGTATAGAGTTACTTTTAAAAATTGAATTTCAGCTGTGCAACAAATAATGTTTTGGTACAGATCATGTCTCATATATTGCATGGGATATATTTCTACTAAGTTTTTCAATGTTTACCTGAAATTCAAATATAACTGGGTATCCAGAATTTTTATTTGCTAACTCTGATAGCTTTTGTGTGTGTATAAATATATTTATAGTTATTAGTATATATTTATATATGTTATACTCCATATATACATATAATATGAAGTATAATATGTTATACTCCATATATATATATATTTATATATATATATTTACACTTCCTAGGAGCAGTGACACCCTCATAGCAAGAAATACAATTAGTACCCAGAATTTGGTTTCTAAACACTTAAACTCTGTGCTGAAAGGAACCGGAGCTCCTTGGCAAAATGGCTGATTCTATAGCTGAAGCAGGGAAGGTACAAGATGAGGCCAGAACATCTTCTTGTGCCAGAAAGTAAAATAATACTAAAAAAAGGAACCTGATAGATACCATTTCAAGGACACAGGGGCTAACCCAAAGAGGCTCCTACTAGCCAAAAAAGGGTAAGTTTGAGCACCAAAATAAGGACAGTGATGAGTTTGAAAACAGTGAACAACGTAGGAATCTATGAGTCCATACTGATAAGTAAGTGGGCAGAAAGGGAAAAGCTCTTGCTCACAGGACCACATTGAGTGTTGATGGTAAATGTGGAAGGAAGGCCAGAGTTGGAAAAAATCATTTTGCAAGCATCATACTATAGACTGATTCAGGCAAAAATGACTATCAGATGCTAAATAGAGGGGGAAATGTTAACAAGATCCTTGCGTGGTCTTGAAGTGTTTCCCCTAAGACTGCTCACTTAGTTACAAAGGGGAAAATGGTAACTATGGAGTACAGAGACTGGACGACATCTTCCTTCACTGAGTGATCAAAATTCACATCAGTGACGACAGACAGATGGCCAGCATGTGCTTCCAGATGGGATCCACTGAGAACACAACATCACGAATGTGGTTTGCCATCTAGGAAAGCATAACTGGGATTTAACCCTGAGGAAACTTCAGACAAATTCAGAAAAGGAACATTCTTTTTTTTTTTCTTTTTAAAGGGGAGAGACTGTTAGTATTTTAGGCAAAAATGTCAAAGTCATTAAATACAAAGAAAGGCTGTGGCAATGTTCCAGATTAAAAGCAACTAAAGAGACATGACAGCTGAGTTTAATACCTGACCCCAGACTGGTTCCTGTACTGGAAGGGCAAAGTGATAGCAAAGATATTATTGTATAACTTAACTGAATTAGAAGACAAATGGCAAATCAGTATCAATGTTGAATTTATGGAAGTTGATAAATGTACAGTTGGCCTTTGAATAATCTAAGGGTAAGAGTGCCGACCCCCCCGCACACACACAGTCAAAAATCCACGTAAAGTTTTGACCTCCCCCACACTAAACTAATGGCCTACTGTTGACTGGAAGCCTTACTGATAACATACAGTCAACATATATTTTGTATGTTCTATGCATTATATGCTGTATTCTTACAATAAAGTAAGCCAAAGAAAAGAAAACGTTTTTAAGAAAATCTTAAGGAAGAGCATTTATAGTACTTTATTTATTGAAAAAAATCCAGGGATCCCTGGGTGGCGCAGCGGTTTGGCGCCTGCCTTTGGCCCAGGGCGTGATCCTGGAGACCCGGGATCGAGTCCCACATCGGGCTCCCGGTGCATGGAGCCTGCTTCTCCCTCTGCCTGTGTCTCTGCCTGTCTCTCTCTCTCTCTCTGTATGTCTATCATAAATAAATAAAAATTAAAAAAAAATTGTTGAAAAAAATCCAAACCTGTGTTATTTGGGGCTCACCTATGCTGTGGTTATAAAGAACATCTTTATTATCAGCAAATACATATTTAGGGGTGAGACCATGATGTATACAACCTCACGTGGTTCCAAAAAAAGATACACTGTTATTTATACTATTATTTTTCAACTTCTCTGTAACTTTGAAATAATTTCTTAAAAAAAAAAGTGAGCTCACATCTTGCCTCTTTGGGGAATCCAGACTCCCAACAGCCTTTTTCCTGCCATTGCACTGCACTTCATCTACTGGGGTCTTCTCCCACACTAAATGTTAAGTACTTGAAGAGAAGAGATTGATTCCTTTAATCTGTGTAAATTCAGGGCCTGGTATAGGGTCAAGCCCACAGTACCTACTCAATAAATATTTGTTGAACAAGCAAACGTTCCAAATAATTTGAATGGGAAAACTGAAAATTTGCCTTAGTGTCTATAGCATAGGCCAACTGGGGGTCCAAGTTTTCTGTGTCCTTGTAGCCTGCATGGTCTGCTCTGTGACCAGCCTCCTGGCCACCTTCTCGCAACATGCCCCTCAGGCCACCTGAGCCACACAGGATGCTACGGAGCCGGCCACTTTGGAAAGCATGCCAGAGGGCAGTTTCTGCCAAATGAGCACTGGGCCTCTTCCTAAACTGGGCTTCCACATGAGCTCTGCGGCCGTACACCAAGACTGTTACCCACATGAGGCCCTCTGTGAGCAGACACCTGCCCCCTGCTGTGCTTCTGCGTGTTCTGCTCTCTTCCTCCGGGGCTCCTTCCCTCCCCGAAACACCCTTTAAGACTCAGTCTGTGCCACCACTCCCAGAAAGCCTTTCCTGACTCCTACTTTCCCCTGCATGTCTAAGTTGTAAGTCCTTTGCATGTATCACCTGTAACACTGGTCCCTAACTCCTGCTGCAGCATTAACTCCAGGCTTTAAATGTTTGTACACCTGTTATGTAGAAGGCTGTAAGCTACTTGAGGGCAGGCACGGCATCACATTTATTTCATGTTTAGCACAGGATGTATAACGTCAATCAGTGTTGGATGGGTGGGTGGATGGATTAAAAAAACCTTGTAACAAGAAATGTGAATCAAATCTGAGTTCAAGGTTGCATGTTGAACTTCAAAGAGGTTTACAGCAGAGAAGTAGAACAGATAGTAGAGTTTGTGACAAAAAAAAAATCATTGGACTTTAAGTGGGGTTATGTTAGCAGGGAAATGGGAAAGATAA